GGGGTGTGCCGCCTTATGGAGCGCTTTGCAGTGTCACTAGCCCGGGCCCGAGCGCGTCTGTGTAACCAGATCGTCTATTTACTCTATCGTCCCGCTTAAAACCCGGCCAAGGGGTCGGGTGGCATTGGCACACTGCGTAATTGGGGCTTTGGCTCCTTGAGTTTACACAAAATAGATGCTCGCAGACTTCTAGGACTTGGGGAATCACGCTGATGTTTTCCTTGCTTGCTATTGGAGGCTGTTCTCCCTACCCACCCAGCGGAGAACTGATCATTCCTTTTCCTGCCTGGTTAGTAAACACTGATGTCATTCCCCTCTTGTGTAATCATTTTTGTGTTCTGTTTGTGTACATTGGCCTTCAAATTATGTATGTGGGGAGGGGGAGAGGGAGTACTGTGAGTCTTTCTCAGTAACTTCACAGTGAAAACAAAGGAAAAACTGCAGTGCTCGTAGCACAGGGATTGTTCATGGTGGCAGTGCAGGATTGTATATTCTAGTTCTCTGAAAAGTGTGCTTTAAGTTGTTTGATGTATGTAGAAACAGATCCATGCTGTGTTCAGATAGCAGTGTTTTAGAACAAAACATGAGAGAGTTCAAATCCCATCAGTACTTACATTTCTCTTCTTTCCTAGGTCATGGCAAAAATCACAAAGATGCTGCCTCGGTAAGGGCTACACACCCTATACCTGCAGCCTGTGGCATTTATTACTTTGAAGTGAAGATCGTCAGTAAAGGTAGAGATGGGTAAGTGCCTTATTCCAGTTCAGTGGTTGGTGATGCATATTTAGCAGTTCTGCTTTACTCTGACCTCCTTTCTGGAAGGGTTAGAGGTCCCATGGCTGCTGGGTGTGACAGGCAGGTACATCATGGGGAGGTTATATTCTCTTGGTTAGTAGATGTAAATGTGGTAGAATGCACTGGAAACAGAGGCATTTACACAGCTGCTTTCTGTGCTGTTTGATATGGGCAGTTTTAAAAATTTAGGAAATTTTCGGTCTCCTGTGCAATTTAAATTAAAATAGTTTTTCCTCTTGCTAGCTAGGTCTGGTCATTCAGATTTCTGGAATTGTGATGCCTCAGAAGTGGAGTGAAATAGAAGTGGGGAACCTTGAACTTAATTTTGGACTGCTAGAGAGATGTTTGCATGGTGAAGAGTAGTCATAGCAGTATTTGAATACTGGAGGGAGAACTTCTGAGACTATTTTTGAGAAACTCCATATGCATGATCAAGGAAAAGATGTTCAAAGAGAGGGAAATTAGATGATTATGAACAGAAGCTGGAATCTATGCTACTTCTGTCATCTCTAGTCTAGGACCTGAATTTGGACTCAAGTCATTATCTCAGGATAGATTGCACCATAGAGTATTGTGACAGATAACAACTATGGAAGTTTGGGAAATTGTGCTGGAACCAAAACACTAAATATAATAAGGTTTTTCCTGACCAAATAATGGGGTTTTTTTTGTAACATTTAATATTGTAGGCTGTTGTTGAGACTGCATTTGCTCTACCAGGCTATACTACTTTGAACAGCAGCAAGCGGAACAACTGCAAAAGCAGCAAATCCTATCAGTAGCATTAGATGCAGCCATACTTTACTGGGTGGCACCTCAGTGAACTGAACTGGCAGTGGGTTTTGGATCTCATCCAGTCTTGTGGTCACTGTATTGGGCATTATTTTGATCCACAATGTAACTGAGCCTGGATGTATGTGGAATTCCTTTAAAGCCATATTCAGGATGTTGGGAAATGTGGGAAAGCAATAAAAGGGTGTTTCTAACAAGGTCTGGGTTTCTGCTGCTAGTGTAGATTTAATTTTTAATCATTATAAAAGTATCAGCCTACTGTGTGTGTATGTATTTGGCATTTTTCATTGCTAAAGGATAAATATCGCAGATACAGCTATCCAGAAAGGAAAGCTGCACAGGAGAAGGTATTGAGTGTAATTAATTCAGTGCTTCAATAATAACATTTGAACTCTGGCCAGTTTAGGGGTCTTAGGGAAGGGCAGCAAACATTCCTACTAGAAACCAATTTAAAGTCATAATTTCTTACTGTTGATTTTTTTTCTGTCATTGTTGAATTGAGAAGTGGCCTATTTGTAAAGGGACTTGCAAAGGATCTTGAATTGTTCTGCATTTAGGCCTGTAATAATTATTAGGTTATCTGTGCAGAGGTGGATGATGGGCTGAATGCTTTACAAATGCAGTGAAAAGACTGTCTTTATTCCTTCAGTTCACTGACTTGGCGATTAACTAGTTTTCTGTTCTGAAACCCTGCACTTGATTAGTTTATGTAACCACTAAAATTAAAACAACTTACAGTGAACTTCAAGACAATTTTCCAAAGAAATCACATTACAAAAGGTCACTGAGCAGCACTTAATCCTACTGCATTCTAGGTCAATCTTACAGGGAGGTAACGGAATTTGTTGCTTGTTTCCCAAGATCAGTTTTCTATATTAATAGTCCATTTTTGTTTTTACTATATTCTATAATTACAGTTACTTTCCAGGAATACTTTCAAAGATATGGAACCATGTGTATTAACATTATAGCAATATGAACATGAGATGTTGATAGCCATGATCTAAAGTCAGTGCAGCGGTGAACCTTTGGGAGCTTGTCTGATGTCTCGGCCATTCCTATGGCTTTTCTTTTGCTGGTGGAGAGAGCCCCCATTTTTATCTTGCACACCGTGGTGTGTGAATTTATATTGTAGCTGCTGCATGTCTGTCACTTAAGAAGGTACTCTTGTATGTCTCATCTTTAATGTTTGAAGTCTGCCCATTGGAGGCTTGGTATGTTGTAACAGTGAACTGTGGCAGAGACATCTTTCTTCTTAGGAAGCTCTCCAGTGTTTATTACACCATGGTGGCTTCAGTTTAAAGGCATAAAAGTCCAGAAGTCTAAAGAAGGGATTGGAGGGAATGAAAGGAATTTTTCAGGTGGCATAAGTGGTAAAGCACATCCGTAGGAACTCAACTGGAATCCCCTGGAAGGGGAGAGGAAGAGGAATCTTTCTGAGCTCACTTCCAGAATGGGTACTTGAGGTGTAAAGTCTCTGCTCTGTAGCTTGTTATTTTATTTATGCTGTACAGAGTAGTGAGGTAAGGATTGCGTGATGTTATTCACTGTGTCTCTCTTACTGGAGTTTGTGATAGCTTTTCACATTTAGGTTTAAAATGTAAGCAATCAGGTTTCAAAAAAAGACTACTCAAAAAATATTTTGGTGGAACAAATTTCAGGAAGTGTGCTTTGAAGAGTTCTGAATCCCCCCTCCCAATAACTCAAACCTATCATCTTTCTGTGCTAATAAGTTGTTAGTCTAGTGCTCTACACTCTGGTTAGATGCTGACAGTTGCTAATAAACAACAGAAACTAAGGTTGCAGGTAAGAAGTGGGATAGAAGCTCCCAGTGGCTTTTATTGGGGATGTAAGAATCTAGAAGCTCACATGATGACTTTTTTGCAGCCTGACAAGAGATGTTGCCTGTATATGAATCGCTGTGATAGGAGGGTTCTTGAATTGACATCGGACAGTGCCAGTTCTGGATTGGTGTGTCACCATGTTAGAGAAACCTGAGCTATAGAGATAACTGAGCTATCCATACCACCTTTTTAACTTCTCCCTTCTGTTACTTTCATGGGGCTAAGGTGATTTAAATCTAGTATGCTGTGGTTCTCTCCTTTGTTTCCTCCCACCACATTGTATCCTAGCAGTAAAAACAAACACCCTCACCGCCCCTCCATTTTTCAGGCAGATTACTTCGCTGCTCAGTTTTGCAAACCCCAGTGCCGGCACAAGGGAAGAGGGAGGGACTGCAGCAGCACAGACACAAGTTGCTTTAGATTGCCAGGGCACTGAACCTGTAGCTGGCAGAAAAGCTTCCTCTTTTGCACTGTCTTTCTCCCATGCCCTTTAATGTACCTCCTTCGTAAAGGTGCTTTTGTTAGAGAAGCAAATTAAATGATTTATGAAAACTCTTCCTTTACTGTTTCTAGACTTTTCTGCCTTGGCATCGGTAAAATCTATCTTAGTTTACTGGTGGATATTTCAAAGGAAGTACAGCATACAAAAAGTCCATTTGGTGCACTTAAGAAACTTCTAAGATTTATCAGCTTTTCTTAGCTGGTATCACCACAATCCTTTGCGTTAAAGAAAGATGATTGAGACTTACTTTTAGCTGAATGGTGGTCATTTCTCATCCTGGTGGTTTTAGTCTTTATTGATAACAGGTCATGTTTATTTACTGCTTGGGTTTTTTTTTTTTTGTTGGGTTTTTTGTTTTGTTTTGTTTTTTTCCTGGGAGAGGGGAGGCTGCCAGGCTACCATTGAAAAATTGTCTTGACAAGGAGGCTAGGTAACACATAACAAATCAGATCTGTCAATAGATTGATCTGCTGTTTGTGCTACTCTTTGTTTGGGGAGATGGTTCTTATCCTCAGAGAGCAGAAGAGAATTGAGTTTACAGTCTCTAGTTCCAGCCCTCTTCTCACCTCCTTGTCTGCGCTGAACACACAGGGAGTGGTTCCACACCACTTTAAGATGATACAGGTCAAGGCTGTGGGATTCTGCCCTTCCATTTGCCATATGTTTCAGTGCCTTCCCTCATGCTGACAATCTGCTACGTGGTCCTGTGGTGAGCTGGTTCAAGGAGATAACTGGCTGAAAGCTGGCCACATCAAAATAATTATGATGATTTAATCTGTTGACGTCACTGTCAAAAATTGCTGCGCTTTTTTTTGTTGTTGTTGTTGTTTGTTTGTTTTTAATTGAGGACTACTTTTCAGGGTTCTACTCCCTGGTGTGGGTTGAAGGTGAGTTAATAAAGGGGTGGGCTGAGCTGGGAGAGGGAAGAGTAGGATTGCAGCAACCCTCATTTGGGTCCATTCAAAGTGTTGTTGAACAGTTTTGTCTTAAGACTTGCTGGGTACTTAATTTTCTGAGCCATTGTATGTGTGTCTCCTGAGTGTTGTCACTTGTAATAAAAGGACAGGAGGCAATGGGTCACAAGTTGTGGCAAGGGAGATGCCAGCTGGACATAAGAAAGAATTTTCCTCGTGGAAATTGTTAAGCACCAAAACAGGATGCCCAGAGAGGCTGTGGCATCTCCATCTTCAAATTTGCTGGGGCAAGGCCCCAGACTGCCTGACATAACTTTCAGAATTACTTATGCTTTGGGCAGAAGGATAAAGAAGGAAGGTCCCAAGGTCCCTTCCAGTCCAAACCTCTCTGTGGTTCTGTGGGTGGCTTGCTTCCAGCATTCCTCAGATGAGCAGACTGGCAGAAATGTATGTGACTCTTATGTTCCTGAGCTGCCACAAATAACTTATGCTTTTATCATGGCAGTGTTTATAACAGTTCAACCTTAATTATATTTGAAGCACTGGACTTTTATCCTCTCTCTGAAATACGTGTTTCTGTTTGCTGTTGATTTGTCAGCACATCTCACAGCTTCTGTTCCCCCATTAGACGATCTCTGCTTGGTAAACAGGAACAGGGTAAGACTCATCAGGGTAGGGCAGTCAACCCACAATGTACAGGCTGTTGTGACTCAGGAGGGCAATTCACCTTTGTTGTCCTCTTTATACTGGGGCAAGGTGAGCTGTCTCATGGGTGGCAGTGCTTGTTTCTGACCGCTGTTTTGGTTTCTTGACCTGTTTTACCTCCCACGGCCATGTGGTGGGTTGTAATGGAGTGTGACTGGAGAGGACAACCTGGAGGCTGACCCTGTTTGTGCA